TTGTCACCATTGAATATTGGAGCCCGAAGATCACTACCACCAGATCCAGCCATTTGAGACTTGAATCGACAAACTGAGTCGGAAATTTCACGTTGGATTTCCGAGCACAGCACTCACAGATCTTACGCCCCGATTCCAGATAGAACCTAAGCTCTAGATACCATGTTAAGTTTTTAGTAAGCTGATATATACAGGAATTGGATTTTAGAGGGAGCTGAAAAGACAGAGAGAGTGAGAGGCAAGGTTTTTCACAACTGCAACTCTACTATACTGCAGAGAGCAACATTTCATTCATATTCATTCCTTTCTTTTACATCAGACATCATAACCGTTCAATTACATGAGCCAATGTGATTTTGACACATGGCAGAACAAAGCATATGAGCCATTGAAAAAGAGTCCTAATCTAAGACCATACACTTGGCATATAAGCACAAGTTATCACATCATAAAACAGCTACTCAATAGAACAAAGATAAAATAGATAAGTAAATCATTTACTAACTTGAAATTAGTAAGCAGTTTACTTTTCAACACAGACCTTCCTAGATCTTAAATTCAATCGTGACCCCGATGACATAAATGACCTTGACAATTTTAGCACATACCAAGATGACCCCAACGTCTCTGATGATCTTGATGACCTAGAAGATGATTCCGTCAGTACCTACTTCGACATTACCAAAGATGACTTCGACAATACCCCTGCAACGTCTTTATTGCCACAATGGCGAGCAATGTACTTATCTTTCAGTTTTTTGGGCCATTGTTTTTTATCTTGTATAGAAAATTAACTCTAGAACGACATATCAGATGATGTTTGACCTGGAAATTTTCTAGTATACTGCGTAACCTTCCAAGACAAGTGTAGCGAATGCTAACTATGTAACTTTGTAGTGACTGGAGTAAAGATAGTCTCCAAGCCTGGTGTGAAAGTAAAAGAGTCTCACATCGATGAAAGAAGAATCCTTGCAAAGGTTTATAAGAGGAAGCTATTCTTCATATTATCAATTGATTTTATGGTAAGGCCCTAATTTTTTCATGGTATTACACCAATTGACCCACGTGTGAAGCCCAACGGCGACACGCCTTCCACATCCCTAGTTCATACTCTCCACGCGTTTGGCTTGAAAAGCCCAACAGCGACGTGTGCTTCACGTCATCAAATTCGTATTATCCATGCCTGTGTGGATGCGAAGGTAAAATAGTTACATCAGTGAAAGGAAAAAGCTTCTAAGGGCTTATAAGAGATTAGGCTACACCCATATTACTAATTGATTTTATATAGTATGAGGATCTTGGAGTGTATAACGAGGAAGAATAGTTTTAGTACAAAGAGAAGAAGATGAGAGAAAATATGTATCATTGCATATATATTTCTTAATGAGCAAGTAATACATGAAAGTTCCTATTTATAAAAAGTAATCTCAACTAATTAACTAACATAACTTCTAATCTTATGACAAGTGGCACAATCTCATTCATTAATTCATATACTTTATCATCCCCTTAAACTCATGCTTTGAAGATCCAAGCAATAGATAGTTACAATGAGTGTAAAGCAAGCATTAGATAGTGATTGAATGATAGTCTGCAATTGGACGTAAATCGAAGCCCTATATTTGAATTGAACTGAATGTCGATGATTAGAATTAGAGATTTTCTCTCCGTTGGTTGGATTTAGTCAAAGTGAGAGAGAGAGAGAGAGAGAGAGAGAGAGAGAGAGAGAGTAGGAAGCTGGCTTGGCGGCGAGTCCCGCGACGCGATTTGGGAGCTTTGGCAATGCGGAAGTCGTTGGGTGATGGGGATTCAACAGTTGGGTGTTGCTGGTATTTTGGGTTATTGGAATTTCAAATACAAATAATAAAAGTTAACACTACTCTCTTTTAATTTTGTGAAATGTACAAAATAAATCGATATTGATGAGAGTTATTAGGGTCATACACCTGATCTATTTTTATTTAATAGTATAAACATATTACAAAAAGGTGCCATTGAAGTATATTTTTCTCGGTGACCAAATTCTTGATCTGGTCTGAAAAGAATAAGCACAAAACAAACAAGCATAACAAATCTCCTACATGGCAGACCACAATAAACAAAGAACACACAAGAACAAAATGTGCAAATCTGCCACAATAGATTAATGTTGACATATTTAGAATCGAGGATCACAAAATCATCGCTAAAAAGCGAGGTCACACAAACTTCTAGGCGGTACAAATATACACAAAAATAAGTAAGCCGAAAAAGAAACCACTGTTGACTCATCTCCATAATAATAAAACATGGCACGCTCGTCCCGAACATCTATAACCTCACTAAATCTGCGATAGTCACGAGTCAATCAAGGTTCACCTGTCACTAATCTGGGAATGGAAAGTGATTCGACCACAAATCTTGACCATGGTCTAAGAATACCCTGTATCAATACAAATCCGCAACATTCATGGCCCAAGCAATCTGATTCCAACTCGAATATGGGTGTGGAAGTTGAGTTAGCTGCAAAAATTGTCGAGTAGTGCATTGTCCACATGAGATCTAAGTCGTAAAACGCGATTTCGACCCACCACAACCACACCCAAACTCACGAGTCAATATTGAAATGAGAGTAAATAGATGGGTTTGAGAAACATAGAGGGTTATGTACATTATATATATAGACTTATGTACACTATATATAAGTCAAAGGGAGAAAAAATACGTATTTAGGAATTTTGCAAATACTTAATTTTGGCACAGTTTGAGAACAAATATCTTAAAAATTTTGCTTTGCTCGAACAGTAGACCTTAATATCGAGAAATAAAAACAAATATAAATTTTTGTGCGACAATTTCGATCAACGACCATCATTTTCCCAACTCTTGGCATAACTAATGACAATTCTTCAAGTACCCAAGTTTAAATCTAACTTAGACTCAGACTCATATTCAGACCTTCCTAGATCTTAAATCAATGACCTTGACAATTTTGGCACATACCAAGATGACCCCAACGTCTCTGATGATTTTGATGACGTAGAAGATGATTCCGTCAGTATCTACTTCGACAATACCCCCACAACGTCTTTTTTGCCACACTGGCGAGCAAATGTAGTTATCTTTCAGTTTTTTCGGCTAGTGTTTTTTATTTTGTATAGAAAATTAACTCTAGAACGATATATTATATGATGTTTGACCCGAAAATAGTCTCCAAGCTTTCGGTGAGGATATGAAAGCAAAAGAGTTTCACATCGGTAAAAAAGTGTAGTGCATGCTAACTATGTAACTTTGCAGTGACTTGAGTTACTCCTTATATTGTCGATTTTATGGTAGAGTCCCAACTTTTTTTATGGTACTAGAGCAGTTGACCCAAGTGTGAGGCCCAACGGCAAAGCGCGTTCCACATCACCCAATTCGTATTCTCCATATGTTTGGCTTGAAAAGCCCAATAACTACATGTGCTACATGTCATCCAATTTGTGTTGTCCATGCCTTTGGCTTGAGATGTGTTGAGGATGTGAAAATAAAATAGTCACATCAGTGAAAGGGAAAACCTTCTAAGGGCTTGTAAAAGATTGGATTACACCCAATATTACCAATTAATTTTAAAATGAAACCTTAACTTTCTTCACCTTTAATATTTAGCCTTCCACGATACTCAACCATGACATTACATGCAAGCCTTGGATGTGGTCCGAGGCCAAAGATTACTGACGAATCTAAGTAGTTGTTATTTCCATTGCTTGTAGTTGATTAAGATATTCACCGTGTAGACAAAAGACATCATTTTCGAGATCGTAAATAACAATTGGAAGTACGATTGCAGTCTTTTTTACTAGTTCAAATTAAAACAATACTTGGCTGTTGAATTTTTTCTGTTTTAATCCAATTAGATTTGAAAACGTGTCCAAATAATTCAAATCACAAACACAAACTAAACACGTATTCAAAATTAATTGAGCGAAAGCAAGAGTGGTTACTGAAAATATTATTCTCCAAACTAAACTGAAAACAACATTGAACAGAACACCATTTCAAACTTAGACGTGTCAAGCAACACCAAACCCTGAATCCTCGCCTTTGCGTAACGATATAGCTAGCTCGCTTCGGGTTGCGCTCTGCTGCGAATGCAAATATTTCATACGCGTTACAGGCGGACACGTGTCATCACCATTTCAAAACACGTTAGCACATTAGAACCCTGTGACAATGATCGAGGGCTTAGGGAGAAGCCACTGCCGTGTTTGGCCCCACTGAACAGTGAGTAGTGTAGTTGTTGAAACCTATTTCGGTCGCAGAGAAGCATAGCTCTTAAGAATCTAGTTGAACCAATGAGATTGATGTTAGGTATTCAGTTCCCATGCAGTGGGGACAGCGATTTGGAAAGGACGAACAAGTTCGGAGAGTTTCTACACTCTTATCTTCTTTACATTTTCTTCTTGCTTCCCTTGTTTTTTGTTTTTGATTTTTTTTTAACAAACGAAATTATCTACACTAAAAGAGAAAGAATGAAATTAATCTCATAATAAATTAGTAATAATATAGTTCAAATTTATCTTAAAAAAAAAACAACGTTTGTTTTGGGCAAGCTCGATTTTGGAGAAAATATAATTTTTTTTAATAATACTTGCATTTATTGGGAATGCTTTTGTGAATAACATATATTTCCAGTATAAACTCTACAATTGGAACCGTTTAATTTTTTAATTTTCATTTAAAGATCATTTTTACAAAAATACTATTCGAATTACATGTTGTTTAGTCATCTATATGTGACAAATAAATGAACGATTCATCATAAATCTATTACTTGGTACTCACACAATCGATTTATTTCATATATTTAAATAGTTAAACGATCTCTAAATTGAATAATATTTTTGTGGAAACAATCTCCAAATAAAAATAAAAAAATTACACAATTTTGACCATAAAACTTGTACGAAAAACATACGTTAATAGGGCATGTTTTTTGGTAAGTGAGCTTTCCTATATCCAGGGGAAGAATATAGGACAACAATTTTAAAAGCTCGTATTTTACTTGGCTTCAAAAGGAAGAAGAAGCGTTTAAGCAACCGCGCTATCTTTGTCTCTCTCCCTCACTAGATTTTGGCCGAATCTCCTAATAGTTGGAGAAGACAGAGCATATATGGCGTCGCAACTCTAATGACACTTCTCTGCTCACTTTGAAGGTAACCCGAACTATTAAAAAAAAATATGAAAATTGTTGTTCTTTACGATTTCTCTTTACCCAGGAAAGCTAATTTTGCTTGATCTTTTAGTTAGCTGTTTTGGGGTGTTAATTTTTGTTAAGGATTGGTAAATTAATTATTTTTCCTGTGCTATTATTCAGTTAAATACTCTTTTGTTTGAAATTGTAATATAGGGATTTTATGTTCTCCAATTTCTTGTAGTTTCACAAGATATATATCATGATTTATTGCTTTTTTTTCCTAATTTTGCAAAGTATTTGTAACTTACTAGTTTTTGTTTTCTGTATTTTTCTTATGTGGAATAGAGGGTAAAGTTCAGCCGTTTCTGAATCGTTGATTTGGTTGATGTTTGCAGAATACATTTTCTGGTTATGGAAATACTCTCATACAGTTCTGCACCATGCTGTGATGCTGTAAGTTTAAGGGCAAGATTAGTCGAGAAATGCTCAAATTTACATCGCTCCGGGTTCCCAGATTTTAGGAGAAAAAGAGTTTATGGTGTTCGATTTGATTCCAGAAGTAGGTTGTTGAAGTGTCATGGTTTAGATCAGTCTTTCTTGAAGCAGCTAAATCGTCAGGGAGGTATTGGGTTACCCAACACCAGTGAAAGCTTCAAGCATGTTGGTCCGATTTTATCTAGTGGAAGCTCGGATGGCTATGTAATTGGCACGGCTGAGGATGCAAATGTTTCAGAAACGGGGGAATCTGTTACTAAGGTTTTGATTCCTGGTCTACCTGACGAACCCAAAGGCGAATTTGGTGCCCCAATAAGTAGTTGCTTTTGGGAATGGAAGCCCAAATTCAATGTGCATTATGAGAAAGCCGGATGCGATAACTTGGGATCCCCTCCAGTATTGTTTCTTCCTGGTTTTGGGGTTGGCTCTTTTCACTATGAGAAGCAACTGAAAGATTTGGGGCGTGATTTTAGAGTATGGGCAATTGATTTTCTTGGGCAGGGTAGGTCATTGCCATTTGAAGACCCTGCTCCTCGTATTAACGAAGAAGGTATGTCCGACAGGCAAGATACAGCGTGGGGTTTTGGAGAAAAAACCGAACCATGGGCAAGCGAGCTTGTCTACTCTATTGATTTATGGCAGGATCAAGTTCGTTACTTCATAGAAGAGGTACACTATAGCATTAAAGCTATTTCCTTGTTCCATTATTTGATGGATACAAAGAATCATATTTATAGGTTCTTTTTAGTAGATAATAACGATATTGTAGCTCATGGATCTTCTGTTTGTTAAAGTTTGGGAAGCATTTTTGATAACTTGGTCTATTTCCTTTCTTCTCTGTCCATTAGTGTTCATGCTAATTTGAGCATTTTACATGGTTCATTTGCTTGAGTTTGCTATGACTTAATACTTTTTTGCCAGGGAAATATCATCTAATTTTAGTTTTTTCTTTATGAGAAGTAGCTCTCTTCATCACTTCCTTGACTGTCTACTCATGAGCAATATAAAAGCAACCATTTTTCTTGCAGGTAATTGGTGAACCTGTCTATATTGCGGGGAACTCGCTAGGAGGATTTGTTGCTTTGTATTTTGCCGCATGTAACCCTCATTTGGTGAAAGGCGTTACATTGCTGAATGCAACTCCTTTCTGGGGATTTCTACCTAACCCTATAAGATCTCCAAGACTAGCAAAAATATTCCCATCAGCAGGATCATTTCCGTTACCTGCCAGTGTGAGAAAGCTCACAGAAATACTGTAAGTTCTTATAGCTGGCATAATTCTTTAAGATATGTCTTACAATTCAGTTTGTAATTTAGTATGTTTTAGATCAGTAAATGATAGGCTGTAAAACATCTTTGACATAGGAGCTTTGCATATGGATGCTGCAATTTATCTTTCCATATTTACTGGCAATCGAGTTAAAATTGTTTGAGTTTGCTTCATTGGTTTCAGTTGGCAAAAAATTAGCGATCCTCAGAGTATAGCGGAGGTACTCAAACAAGTTTATGCAGATCATTCAACAAACGTTGACAAAGTATTTTCCCGTATACTTGAGACATCAGAGCATCCAGCCGCTGCTGCATCATTGGCCTCAATTATGCTTGCTCCTCAAGGAAAATTATCCTTTAAGGAGGCTTTGTCCAGGTAGACAATACAAAGGGTTATAACGTATAGGCATGCAGACAATTTTGTATGTGCTTTCGTTTTTCTGGTCCAAGTTAAGTGAGAAGCACCAGTACATTTTTTCTGTAGATGTCAAATGAACAACACACCGATTTGTCTTATGTATGGAAAAGAAGATCCATGGGTGAAACCTATTTGGGGCCTTCAGGTGAAGCAACAAGTGCCTGAAGCTCCATATTACGAGATCAGTCCAGCTGGCCACTGCCCTCACGATGAAGTTCCTGAGGTAAGCAGCATTTCACTAATCAGCACAGAACTATCCTTTTACGCGTGTTGAATATTTGCTATTGCAGGAATAGTTGGCATATATTATCGCTGTTATCTATGCTTTAATTTGGGTACACATTAAAAGTTTGTGTATTTTAGGTCAGTAAGGTAGGAAAGTAAATCTTGTGTATTTTTTGCGATGGCAAGTGCCTTCGCCCATGAGCGGTAGGTCTCGGGTTCGAGACTTGGGAGCAGCCTCTCCATAAAATGGGGGTAAGGCTAGCCGACATTCACCTCTTCCTGACCCTGCGTAAAGCGGAAGCCTTGTGCACTGGGTACGACCTTTTTTGTGTAAAAGTTTCTTACACAGCAAGAGTAACTCTTGTTAATTATTTGTAAATTTTTCTTGTACTGCAATCATGAAAATAGATATATAGATATTTCATTCATCTAAGTTGAGAGATTCAGCAAAGTCGATTGGTGTGATTTTTTGAAGAAGAGAATGCATGTATAAACCATGTTCACTATCAGCTTTCCGTTGGAGCACTTTCGATTGGATTTTTGGATATCCTGTTTGATGAGTCCTATCTTGTTTTTTCGTTCTTAGAAGACTAATTGTCATCGTAATGCAGGTTGTGAATTACTTATTACGCGGGTGGATCAAAAACCTAGAGACTCGGGGTTTAGTTGCATTGCCTTTGATTGATGTCCCAGAAGGTACGCAGAACAACATTGCCAGGGACCTGGAATTTGTGAGAGATGGATCAAAAAAGTCAGTAAATGTTCGGTTCTTTGCATCCAAGTTCTCACTTTGGGACATGATCAGTTCTTATATCAGACCCCTCTTTCGGAAGTTATAGCTCAAATCATAAAGTAGCATCAGATTCAAAGAAAAATCATGAACATGAAACGAATAGAATGTAGACGCCGAAATGTATCATATATATACGACGTATATAAAGTTGTTATATGTTTTACTTCTGTCATTGTAGTCACTTTGTCTCGCTGAATATTTACTTGTAGCAAGAGTGACAAATCTACTCACTCCATCCAACTACCTTTCATGCTTCCCACCCTTTACAGAGCATCTGGGTAAAACTAGCTTCCTAAAACTGACTTGTAATGAACAAAAATTCTCTCCAGCGCACGCGGGGTGAGGGCATGGATTGCGCCCATACGACCCTGGCCCAACGACCTCCTCTTTGGCCCGCTCCAATGACCCTGGCCCTACAATAGCCCCTGAGCCACCTGCAGACTAATTGTTAAATGCAAAATGGTTCCCATAAACAATTAAACCGCTATAAGATTTGCTATTTTTCTGATGTGAGAGAGTTGAATCCGAAACCATTCGAAGAATCAACCGTTAGATCTAATCTTGTTTAACGGTTAGATACAGCATAAAAACTCGTATCAAAGGTTAAGATTCTAAAAAACGTTAGGCACTAATCAGGCGGCGGGCAAAGGCCTAGCGCTTAAGCTAATTTATGTAAATTTATTGTATATCTTGTAAATAAATGCCTACTTACACTTTAAAAATATTTATTAAAAAAAAACTAAAAAACTATACTTGTGTGGATAATAAAAGAATGATAAATCTATCCAACAAGTTCAATATTAAAAACAGTAAGCATATAATCATAATGAGAAGTATTCTTGGATAATTGACTAAATTTTTCTTGTTCATGATCCTTCTATTAGATTTGACATAAACTAAATTATTTAACCTTGTTATATATAAACAGCCATTTAACTCCAGACTGATTTTTCAAAACAATTTGCACTAAATCGCTACGGGCCTGCACCGCCTAGTGCCTAGAGGGCCACTTAGGCCGATTTTTAGAAGACTGCCACCTACCAAATCTAAATCATAGCATCAACGGTATTTTCAGGTGTATGCATATTTAAATGGAACAGTTCAAAACATGCAGACTTTTAGGCCGATCGAGCAGAGAATTGAGCTGCTCACCTGAAATTATGCGACGGCTCTCGAGCACATTCCCTTCCGTCAAGTTCCGGAACCCTAACCCTAACCCCCCAAAATTATCATCACCCTCCTCGCTATCCCTGTCGATCAAATCAGAAGCATCCTCGAGCTCTCCGTCCAAATCAAAATCAAAACCAAAATCTTGGTCTGTGTATCTCATTCTTTCCACCAATTCCCCAATCAAAACCTACGTCGGCGTCACCACCGATTTCTCTCGCCGGTACGTTTGATTTCGTTTCAAGTTTTATCCTTTTCATCTAATATGATGCATTTATGAATAAATTCTTATCTGGGTCTTTCAAAGAATCGAATTTGATCCTTTTCCTTAGCTGTTTGATAAATTTGTGAACAAATTATTTTCTGGGTCTTTCAAATTTATGCTTTCCCGTAGAGATTGATTAAATTTGTGCACACATTCTTATCCGTGTCTATATCATTCTGGGATAATTTGGTAGTTCTTTAGTAAAATGCCAAAGAATTGGTGGCTCTGTGCTCACTGCACGGCTCCGTGATAATTAGGTTAGTTCTGATTCTAGCTAGCCCCTGAGTTTCAGAAAGGAGTATACTTTTTGTATCTTAGATTCCTGTAATGTTTCTTTTCGGCTTTTGAACGAATTAAGGGAATGAAACAATGATCAGTGTTATGCACATACATTGGATTCGATTAAAAATTATGAAGAAACCGCCAGTTTGTAAGGAATGAATAGTATGCAAGGTGAATTGTTCGTGATCACTTTATGTTTTGTGGGTGGGGAGCAAAGATGTTGAAATTTTTTTTCCCTGTGGTGGATTTGCCTTCTTTGCTAGCTATATAGTTGTTGTAGGAATTTAGAGGAACTTTGTTTTAGCATTCAGTTTCTTGTTTTGCCGCTGGAGTTAAGAGCAACTTTGTTATAGCTTTTTGCGTATTTACTTATGCTGTACTTGGTGATGGTGTCCCTCTAATTATTCTCCTGAAAATAAATGCTTATGTGTCCGCCTGTGTAAGTTTATCTTACATTGCCGGTCCCAATCCCGGATAAAGGAGGAGGGGGAGTGCGTCAGGTTACGTCGAATCCTTGGAATGCGATCATACCAGCTCACATGCACCGGATCCCATCCGAACGCCGAAGTTAAATGAGTTTGGGCAAGAGTAGTACTAGGATGGGTGACCTCCTAGGAAGTCCTCGTGTTGCATCCCCCCACAGCCGACCCCACCTGGTGGGAAAAAACTTTGTTGTGTTTATGTGTTCTTATGATCTGGTTATTTGTTTGCGGACTCAGTGATTTCTGGTTATCTTTTGGTCAAGCAGTAACTATAGTCTATTGTTATATAACTCTTATGCAGTTTGAAACAACATAATGGCGAGCTCAAAGGTGGTGCAAAAGCATCTAGTGCTGGAAGACCATGGATTTGTGCATGCCTAATACATGGTTTTAAGGGCCAAAGTGAAGGTATTTTATTTGGAATTGGAAAACAAAGATTGTGTTTTAACATAGTTAATCCTTTCATTCAGTCAATTTTTGGTCAATTTATGGGCTCAATTTGTATTGCTTCAGCTGTTAAAATGTTGCTGCCTACAATGACACCCATTATTTTGAAGTGCCAATATAATTTTAAATTCGTCCACCACAGGGATGATTGATCAGGAGCTCCTTCCATGATGTGTATTTGGATGTGAAAAAATGTCTAGTTAGCTGTTAACTTAAGGGGATACGTTAGGATTGGGAGCTCCTTTAATAGATGAATTTTCAAAGAGTTTTCCAAGAACTAGAGTGGGAGGGATGAGCATTTTGTCGCCCAGTTTTTATGTGGTGGGATTAGCTCTAGTGTGGAGTCTTTTTATGTAGCTCTAAGGGGTTTCGTCCACTTATGATTAGTGACTCATTTTCCATGCAAATTTTGTATAAGATCCTAATGAAACTTAATATCATATTTTATGATTTACTAAACTGTACGCAAAAGGAATGGTTAATCAGATTTAGCTTTTTTCTGATGATCTTTTTATGTAAGCTAAGCTCCACATCTTGAACGCAAACAGACCAAGTAACTCTTTGATTTCTGTTGTAGCTTGCGAGTTCGAATCAAAATGGAAAACTTTATCAAGGCGTTTGCCTCGGAAAAGAAAGAAACACGACGAGGAGGAGCGAGCAAATGATTTGTCACTTCCATTGCTACAACACAGGCAAGCAGCTCTGGATAGAGTTAAAGGTATACTTGATTGCACCCACTTAGAAATCGACTGGAAACTGGACCCTTTGTGATTTATAAGTCGCGTGGTCTACGTTTCATAACAATTTTTCATTGTAAATGTATGATGTTTAAGTAACAAAAAATGTTGTAAAACTCAGGAAGATGAGTCATATTTATATAGGATAACAATTGCTAGTCGAGAATGGTTGTGTACTTGTAAGATAACACTGTATCATGAGATTGGTCAGTCCCATGGATGGACGAATGTCTTAATGTATGTTCTTTCTCTCAAGGAACGAAATAATGAATGAGAAAGGAAGGGACATTTGTTTTATGTTTGCTTTTGTTATTGTCATCTCATGGAACACACTGAATACAACATCGTCGGTTCATACTCGCATTTTTCAAACAGAGTATATTGTGAGTAAAAATGTTGCGTTCTTCTCATGATGCAAGAAAATTGTGATTATTCACCGTACGATCTCAATACAACAGAGTTATTCATTTAACTTTTGTTAGAATACTTTCTATTTCAAACCTGAAATAAAATCGAACAGTTGATAACCATGATTTTCTTTAACTTATGTCTAATTTTCTTGAAGATAATCAGAGTACATTCTTCAAGAACGCGGCAAACTCACCGTGCTCTTGAATCATTCTAACGTCAGCCTTGCACCGAATAAACTGCGGAAAGAACAGCCAATAGGAGGTCACCACAATAAACCCAAAGGTCAACGGCACGGAGATCACCCTCGGCAACCGGCACCTGCCCTTCAACGCCTTCTTCAAAACGATCTCAACCGGCAAGCACACTCCGTGCAAAACGAAGAACCACGTGACCTCCCACGTGGGCCTCACCCGCCCCATGCAGTAGTACATGTGCTCGTGCATGAGCCCCGACACCAGGAAGCTTCCGAGGACAGCCGGCAGAGGGGCCCACAAACGGCCAATGACGCCTGCAGAGTAGTCGCAGGTGGGTTCGTACACGGCGGAGCGCAGGATGCTGTGGGCCACGAGGTTCCATCTACGACCCCAGAAGTCTTGAAGCGACGTGGAGAAGTATGGGTCGTTGAAGTGTGGCTTGAGGTCCAAACCCGACAGAGATCGAGTCAATATTGTCACAATGGCCAGTAAATTTTCCAGAGTAAGGTAAATGTACAAGTAATGAAGGACCAATACGAGATTTTGGTGGAAGTGCTCACTATACTTAAGGACACCAATTAGAATGACAAAAAGTATACCCTTTATTACTTGATTTAGGGGCAATTTTCGGGCGTTTTGGGGAGATGGGTTGGTTTCAATTTTAGAATTTCGGGATTTTTGAGGTGGGTTTTCTCTGTTTTGACGATTTGGATTGGATTTTGAGGGAGATGGGTAGGTTTCAATTTTAGGGTTTTGAGATTTTGGAGGTGGGTTTTGGGTCATTTGGCCATTTGGGTGGGATTTTGAGGGAGATGGGTAGGTTTCAAATTTGGGGTTTGGGGATTTTGGCGGTGGGTTTTCTTGGAACTCAATTGGAAGGCAACCGATGGCCAAGAAACGTCCAATGGAGATTGGTGGATGTGAAGCCAAAGGGCCTTTGCCAAAAGCGAAGAGTAGGAGCTTGAAGCTGCCGAGCCAAGAAATGAAAAAGGCAGTGCCACCTACAAGATGCATGGAGGAGAAGTTGAGAGGAAGATAAAGGAAGAGGAAGACAACTGGGAGGACACAGAAAAGTCTGGTTGTTCCTTTTGGGACTAATTTCCCAATTGAATGGCTGTAGAAGAAACATGCAAACACTGACGTCCATACCTTAATGAAGTTGTAGAATTCACCCTCCATTAATTGTTTTATGATCTTGCTTTCTGCTTTGTTGTTTATATCCTTGATGTTCAACTGTTGATAATCGATGAGGAACAAATTAGAATCTCATAAAAACAAACACAACATACCCACAATACCTCCAAAGACGCTCATCTTAACAGAACGAACAGAAATTGCCCAACTCAGTTGGACATTCCCTTAAACCACTCCAACATAAACAATCATGCTTTTAGCACAACACAAACCGTACGGGGCAATAAAATCTGGGCACAAAAATTGAAATTTGAAGCAGATCCAGATATCTGCCAGCCTCTAAAAGAAAGAGAACCGTAAATGTCAATCTCAACGTTTCAGACTCACTAAATTCTAGTGTTTCTTCAGCTTTTCTAACAATGTGGTAGTTTCTGTGTGCTGTATGTGAGCTGAGAGAGAGAGAGAGAGAGAGAGAGAGAGCTGTGAGCTGCAAAAAACCTCATTATTTATATCAAAGGGCATATAAGAAAACATGCATTAGGAAGCAAAGTGCTAAACTTGTCTCTCATATACACATCCTTAGAGAGAGAGAGAGAGAGAGAGAGAGCTGTGAGCTACAAAAAAATCTCATTATTTATATCAAAGGGCATGTAAGAAAGCATGCATTAGGAAGCAAAGTGCTATACCCGTCTCTCATATACACATCCTTATTATTCTAATGAATTACCCAGCTACTACTCATCATCCAAGTTTCAACTCAAACTCTGCTGAATCATATATGCCTTCACGCTGCAACCACAGGAACTGCAGTCTCCTCGACTTCTTCAGCCTTTCCCAGCAAAATCACCAACTATGAGACAGAAAGAGAGACAACTTTAGTATTAGCTAGGAACACATAATTATTACAAAAGTCCAGCAGTGAGTAACATAACAACTTTGATCAGTAAAATCAAAAGGAAATAACGAACCTGAGCCTTCAACACAATCCGTCCATCTTCGCCATCCAGCTTCGAGACAACAGTAGAGGTGCTTATGCCTGTTCCCGTAGTATCCCCACAACATTAACCATTATGTTTATCAAAGTAGTACTGGAAATCAAACACAACACTTGTCAAATATCGACTTACTATTTTCAACCGTAACTTCATTGCTCTTGAGACTCTCAACAATTGCGATCAGAGTATGAATAGCTGTACCAAATAACTTGCAAAAATTAGAACAAAATGTTGAAACTTGATGCAAACTAAAACCATGGCTGCTCTAATTAACACTAACAAATCTGTTGCCAATATTGTCAGTGACGGAAAAAAAATGCTAAAATACAATGTGAGTCACAAAATATATGAAACCTCGATCAAATTTCTTGATAAAACCTTAAGAATAACTCCACAAATTACTGAGTTGCAAAAAAAATTCAGAATCCCAGATCAAATTTCTTGATAAACTTTAAAAACCCCAATTCGGACAATATACCCATAATACCTCCAAAGACAATTAATTTTCATAATTCACAACAAAAAAAAAAAAGTATACATACATCAAATTTCACCAAATTCAAGCCTACCATCAGCAATTCCAGTTCGTACACCCTCAAACCACCATCACCCGGAGGCAGATTCTCTGCCCTCATGTTTGTGTGGTTACGGTTAAGTCACGTCAACATTTTATATTAATATTCCTTTTTGTCTTATTATCTCTATAAAAAATATATATATATATATACACACACAATGTTGACGTGGCTTAACCGTGACCACACAAAACAGGAGGGCATGGGAGGGTACGGGAAGTGGGAGGGCAGAGAATTTGCCTCCCCATCACCTAGATGAATGTTAAACATGCAACAGGAAAACGAATTAATTCCCTAAAATTTCAAAATTGGGGATGATCTGAATATGGACTAAAACCTAGAATACCTAACCTTGAGTAGAGAGGGTTTTAGAAAACGACGTCGTTGGAGGCCCAATGTAACAATCCATCCCGGAATTTACGGAACGGAAGGGCATTTTGATAATTTCCCTTTGTTGGACTAGATATTTTGAAATGGTTTGCTTTTGGGTCTTAATGGAGTGCCTAGGGATGGCAACGGGGCGGATTGGGTTCGGATGTGTCATCCCCATAACCGAACCCGTTTGTTTTCCCCGTACCCGAAACCGTAAAAACCCCGAACAGGTATTCCCTGTAACCAAACTCGTTGGATAACAGATTCCCCATCGGGTAACGATTTTCCCATTATGAATTTATAATATTTCTTTCTTATGAAAAATTAAGCAAGTGTTACTACACACTTGCTAAAATTTAACTGATTAACCAATAATTCTTATACAAACAAAATGGACACTATAAGGATATCCAAACATCAACCACTTTCAAATTGAAATCTTAAAAGCATAACAACAATACTTAGATGGTTCTTCGTTAGCAGTGGACATCAGAGGATGAGGGGGAGAAGAAGCTCGACTGTACTCTTCTATGATATTCACCAAATCCTCGTCGAACTTGACGGAAATCAAGGTCTCCAAGTCTCCGTTCGGCAATGGACACCGCATTCAACAGAATAGCCACACAACTCCGCAAGCTTCACCATTAGCTCTGAACACACACAAAAATTTGAAATCAACATCGAAATTGAAACAAAGCAATTGGAATCGAGTCCAAAATTTCAAGAAATTAAGCAAGAATCGAAAAAGGTTGAAGGCTGCGGCTAATTTGTAAGATTCCATGAGTTCTTCCATCTTTTTTGACCTTTGAGTTCTTCCAAATTTCTTGACTGAAAACATTAAATTTTTTGGAATAAAGATAGATTCTGCACTACATGCTCAAGACCTTTGGAATCTCCCAAAAAGTATTAAAGTTGCTAAAGAAAAAAAAAAGGGATTTCATTCTTTTATAAAAAATATATATAAATAATAAATATTTATATTTTTTATTTAAAGAATGAAAACCGGGCGAGTTCAGGTACGGTTCGGAGTGGATACCCCTATAACCATAACCGAACCCGAAACTGAACAATTTACTCAACGGTTACCCATAACCATAAAAAACCCGAAATTTGATCTCCGAAACCGTACTGTTCGGGTCGGTTACCTACAGGGATCGGATTTAACGGATTAAATTGCCATCCCTGGAAGTACCCAAGGGGGACCCATCCTTTGGTTTTGTCCCCCGGCCCAAATCCCTCATCTCTTTCTTCCCTCACAATTCTCTCTCTCTCCCTTACTTCTCACTTTCTCTCCTTCTCTCTAACACTCAACCCCGGACCCTCTCTCCCTCTACAAGCTTTCCCTCTCTTCCTTGAGTATCACTCGTACAACCACACTACCCCAAACCACCACCACCCGAACTTTTGTAACACTTGGAAAATATATATATATATATATATATATATATATATAAATTATAGGAGTAAGATTATTTTAGCTTTAAAAAAAAAAACAGACAAAGGATAATCTATACGTATAGACATCCCAACTCTTCTTCTTCTTCCAAACCATCACACGGTGGGGAACCAAGATAATCGGATTCCGTCCATAAATGTTGGGGGTGATGTGGGTAGTCTAAGGGGAGTGAGTAAGCATCCTAAAACAGAGATGCGATGATGGCATTAAAGGGAGTATTTCTAACTCTTACTGAAGAACTAGAGGAGAGTGAGAGGTTTTGGAGAGGGAAAAGTAGGAAATTGGAAGAGGGGAGCTGAGAGGGTGCTGGTGTGATCGTCGATTGGTAAAAAGGTTAGCTTAAATTTGTTAATTTTTCTATTTTCTTACCACTGCAACTTTGATTTGTAGAAAACTGCAGTTTCGTGAGCCTCACTTTGGCTCTTGTTTTCTCTCAATCCATTACATGTCTTTAAAAAGTCTTCTTATATATTTGAAATTAGACATGACAAGCAACAAAGCCTAATTTATTTCATTGGTTTTGGTTGAGATCTTCTATGGAAAAATATGATTTGAAAATGTGAAAAAATCTAGAAATCTGTAGATTTTCTACAGAAAAACTGTTTCTGAACTCAACTTTGGAGCTTGATTATTTTCTTCTCTTAAATCCGTTTTGGGAAACTCTTATTAGATTAGAAACTAGGTTTGTTAAGCTTTAAAACCCAAGTAATTTCATCCTTTTCCATGGAGTTTTGAGGGATGAAAATGGGGTCACAATATGGGGACTTAAGCTTGGTTCGTCTAGAGGTTGTGACAGAGGTATATTTGGGTAAACTTTTGATAGGCTGAAATTGAATCTTTATTCCAGCTTTAAGTTAACTTTTATTATTATTATTTATGTGATTTTAGGTATGGGAGTGACTTCGAACACTTCGGAGGCTTAGGGAGGTATTCTAGTTAGTTGGACTTGAGGTAGGGACTCTATTTCCAACGATAGTTCTATATCATGTTTAATCTTTGTGATATTAGTAATTATACCTATTACAGTAGTAATGAAATGGTCGGATGGAATATAAACATTTGATTTTCATGGTTGTGTTATGGGCTGATAGTTTCCTCTCTGGTGTATTTTATATATTGATTTTGTTAAATGTTATTATGTGTTGATGAGTGGTTGAGATATGTAAAATTTCTGGATTGAATATGTTGAGGTTTACAATTGTGTTTGTGAAATTGAAATGCTCATGTTGCATTACATGTTTTAGAGTCAAGTGTTGGGTTGTATAAAGATGGTTAAACAAAGTACTGAAAACTTATATATGTTCAAGCGTAGGGTGAAGGGCTTGAACATGTAGTTGGGCGTCGGGGGAAGGGCCCCATATTAATGAAACTGAAACTACTAATAAAATTCAGGATTAAGGGAGGAATGGGAGTTAACTTATATTTTATGGTGTTCAGAACCAAGTGGTATAAGCATGGTATGGGACGTGCGGGTTTGGATGCCATAAATATAAGTTAGCAGGATTAGAAGGGAGTGAGTTCTTGTGTACTTCTTTGTCATATCATTTGTATTTTTCCGTATTGTTTGATGCATGACACTTTGATTAACTGTGATACATGAACTTGAAGGGCAAATGGTTCCTACTGGGCATGAAATGCTCACACCCTATTAGCTATTACAGGTACTAGTATGGAGGAACTTGATGATGGCCTGTCTCTAAATGGATAGCCATATCACGTGTGTGCTGGTTTCCTAGTTGTGCTTAGAATAAAGTGTCTTCGTATCTTAAAAGTATGTTGTAAGAGTTGAACTCTTTAAACTAATGATGTATTAAATAAACAGGTTTATGTGAACTTTTAGATGGCTCTAGTTCCATCATACTTTTGTTGTAATATTTAACTTTTTTTTTCTAAGATACTATTCATGCCCTAATTCGATGATCATCCTTATTCTCGAGTTTTGGGTGTGACAAATTTGGACTTCGAAAACCCTGTACCAAACGCCGAAGAACTCCACAATGACGTTGCCACTATTCATCGTCTTCCCCGACGTGTTTCGTGGTTTCTCGACGTTGAAATAGCACGGAGTAGCTTTTTCCCATTTTTCCGGCACCGCCACTTTCGAGGCATTTACTGGTCAAACCATGATGATTTAACCGTCGTTCAAGTTTCCGACGAGTTCCCCAGTTTTCCCACGGATCAGTCATCTTTCAGGCCATTTTCAGGCCATCTTCAGCAACCATTGGACTTTCAAATAGGTGCAATTGTTTATGGTGTTTCTGTCTTCTCTAGTTTGCACGGCTTTTCGACAGCGAAGTATCTGTGAGTGGATCCTTTCCAAAATGCATATTTTACCATTAGAAATGCATACATGCATTTTTCAAACAATGTCGTCGGTTCATACTCGCATTTTTCAAACAATGGATTGTTTTATCAGCCATGAAAATGAAAATGCAGTGCCATGCCACCTTCAAGATGTATGGGGGGAAGTTCGGTTGTACCTCTTTTATGCTTTGTTGTTTATGTCTTTAATGTTGATCTGTTGGTGATGGTGAACAAGCAGGAGATGGTAGACTGACGTGATCATGAACCAAAATCAAATATTACATAACTGTGTTAATGGTTGATTAAGAGAGATACAATCTGTAAACTTAATGTTGGATAAAATTAAGACACTTCATGAACCAAGATCTTAAATTTCATGATTTTGGGGCGTCACATAGAATTCTGTCACTTCCCTGTTGTCATGTAGTGTCTGATGAGTCCCTTGAAGATAATCAGAGTATATTGTGAGTAAAAATGTTGCGTTCTTTTCATGGTGCAAGAAAATTGTGATTATTCACCGTATGATCTCAATACAACAGAGTAGTCATTTAACTTTTGTTATAATACTTTCTGTTTCAAACTTGAATTAAAATGGAACAGTTAATAACCATAATTTTCTTGAACTATGAGGTATAGGGGGGCGAACCAAAACAAACCTTTCATATATTATCGGAAACTTGGAATGACATTCTTCAAGAACGCGGCAAACTCACCGTACTCTTGAAGCATTCTAACGTCAGCCTTGCACCGAGTAAACTGCGGAAAGAACAGCCAATAGGAGGTCACCACCACAAACCCAAGGGTCAACGGCACCGAGATCACCTTCGGCAACCGGCACCTGCCCTTCAACGCCTTGTTCAAAACGATCTCAACCGGCAAGCACACTCCGTGCAAAACGAAGAACCACGTGACCTCCCACGTGGGCCTCACCCGCCCCATGCAGTAGTACATGTGCTCGTGCATGAGCCCCGACACCAGAAAGCTTCCGAAGACAGCCGGCAGAGGGGCCCACTCGGAGCCAATGACGCCTGCAGAGTAATCGCGGGTGGGTTCGTACACAGCGGAGTGCAGGATGCTGTGGGCCACGAGGTTCCATCTACGGCTCCAGAAGTTTTGAAGCGACGTGGAGAAATATGGGTCGTTGAAGTGCGGCTTGAGGTCCAAACCCGACAGAGATCGAGTCAATATTGTTACAATGGCCAGTAAGTTTTCCAGAGTAAGGTAAATGTACAAGCAATGAAGGATCAATACGAGCTTTTGGTGGAAGTGCTCACCATACTTGAGGACACCAATTAGAATGACAAAAAGTATGCCCTTTATTACTTGATTTAGGGGCAATTTTTGGGCGTTTTGGGGAGATGGGTTGGTTTCAATTTTAGAATTTTGGGATTTTTGAGGTGGGTTTTCTCTGTTTTGACGATTTGTACTGGATTTTGAGGAAGATGTGTAGGTTTCAATCTTAGGGTTTTGAGTTTTTGGAGGTGGGTTTTGTGTCATTTGGCCATTTGGGTGGGATTTTGAGGGAGAAGGGTAGGTTTCAAATTTGGGGTTTGGGGATTTTGGAGGTGGGTTTTCTTGGAACTCAATTGGAAGGCAACCGATGGCCAAGAAACGTCCAATGGAGATTGGTGGATGTGAAGCCAAAGGGCCTTTGCCAAAAGCAAAAAGTAGGAGCTTGAAGGTGCCGAGCCAAGAAACGAAAAAGGCAGTGCCACCTTCAAGATGCATGGAGGAGAAGTTGAGAGGAAGATAAAGGAAGAGGAAGACAACTGGGAGGACACAGAAAAGTCTGGTTGTTCCTTTTGGGACTAATTTCCCAATTGAATGGCTGTACAAGAAACATGCAAACACTGAAGACCATACCTGAATGAAGTTGAAGAATTCACCCTCCATTAATTGTTGTATGATCCTGCTTTCTGCTTTGTTGTTTATGTCATTGATGTTCAACTGTTGATAATCGATGAGGAACAAACAGGAGATGGTAAATATATAATTATTATGTAATTATATATTGAGATGGTAGATATATAATTATTATGTAATTATATATTGGATTAAAGACAGGAGATGGTAGATATATAATTATTATGTAATTATTATGTAATTATATATTGGATTAAAGACAGGAGATGGTAAATATATAATTATTATGTAATTATATATTGGATTAAAGTCACAATATCTTAAAATGTGCACTATAGCTAGGGTGCCTAGTGTGGTCTTATCGTGTAGTATACGTGTTTGATATGAATCTGGCGTCTTTAAATATTGCACCAAACAGGAGACGGAGATAATCCTACCCTTTTTGCAGTTCCCCACATAAAGAATCAGGAAAGGATCCTATTCCTAGCATGTTGGGGTCTTTAAATATTGCACCAAATTACATGCTAATTGCGTGGGGAAAATATATATCTCACGCTCCTTCAGAAATGGAGCAAAGTTAAAGGAATAGGATCCTCTTTGGATTCTCTTTGTGAGAATCCAGATGATCAATCAATTGTATCCGTTTATCGTACATCGTACAGTTATAAATTATTTAAAATTGAATATAAATAGTACTTAACGAAAATTGACCGCACGATGTATGATAAACGAATACGATTGATTGATTCATGAAGTCCCACAAAAAGAATCCGAAGAGGATCCTATTCCTTTGACTTTGCTCCATTTCTGAAGGAGCGTGAGATATATATTTTCCCCATGAGATTAGCATGTAATACTTATTTGAATTTGGGCATCTCACCCCCGGTTGTTTTTAATTTTACTAGCATATGGACACACACAAAGTGTGTGAGAACACTTTTTTTTTTTAAATTATAGATATGTTAGGATTACATGTATGTGAGGTTTTGAAAAAAAAAACAACAAAATTTGGTTATGTGAAATTACATTTCTGCCCCATATTTCTTATTCATGTTCTTTTTTTAATTAGAGAGTTAAACTAATAATTTTATAGAATTTTAGTTGACAATTAGTGTTTTATTAATTAGTAGAGATTAGTTTTAGTTTTAGTTTAGTGAAATTCTTATTTATTTGAATTTGGGCATCTCACCCCGGTTATTTTACATCCATAAGAGTTGTTTTGTTAATAAAAAATCAGATATTCGAACTTGATATCTCTTCCAATCAGATATTAGAAAGATTAAAAACTACTTGGGTACATCCCTAACCACAAACATTAGGCAAACAAATGTATTTTCTTGTTCATTGATACAATTCTCGTAAAAAATGCCAAGTGTCCAAACTTAGCCAACCCGGGAAACAAATGGGCTAATCAGATTCCTGAAACATTCACCTACAGCAGCATACTCCTCAAACGCTTTAATCTCAGCCCTAAACCGAAAGAACTGCGGAAGAAACAGCCAAAAGGAGGTCACCATCACGAATCCGACGCTCAAACCTCCAGATACCAACCTCGGCAACCGCCACCTGCCGGTTGACATCGCCCTCTTCAAACCGATCTCAACCGTCAAACACACTCCGTGCAGTAGAAAGAAGCACGTGAGTCCCCACGTGGGCGGCATCCTTCCCATGTGATAAAACACGATCTCGTGCATCAAACCCGACACCAAAAAGGTCGCGAGGACCGCGGGCAGCGGGGCCCACCACCTGCGGCCCACGACGCGTCGTGAGAAGCCGAGGGTTGGTTCGTACACGGTGGGTCGTAGGATGCCAGTGACCATGAGGTTCCACCGCCGGCCCCAGAACTCTTGGAGCGAGGTTGAGAGATAAGGCTCGTTGAACTGCGGCTCGAGCTCGGTGGCCAGGAGGGTTCGAGCCAGGGCTGCAGCCACGGCTAGGACGAGTTCGAGGAACAAGTAAATGTGCAGCGAATAAAGAACCCACATGGCGTATGGAGGGATTCGGTCACTGTAATCATAGGCACGTAGCAAAATTCCAAAAAGCAGAGCCTTTATGACATGATTTAGAGGGATTTTATGGCCTACCTTGGGATCTTGGGGAATAGGGTTCTCTTTGTCTTTGTTTTGGTGATCTGCAGGTGTGTTTTCTTTGGATTGGCCATTTTGTTTTTGTACGGATTGAATTCCTTCACTTTTGGTAGTTTTTTTGTGTTTGGCTAATGGATTTGGAGGTGGGTTCTTATTTTGTTGGATCTTGATTGGGAGGCAAGCAAGAGGAACAAAACGAGCGAGAGAGATTGATGGGTCAGAAGCCAGAGGTCCTTTACCAAAAGCAAAGAGCAAGAGCTTGAAGTTTGCGAGCCAAGAAACGAAGAAAGATGTGTTGCCGGCAAGATGTATGGAGGAGATGAGGAGAGGAAGGTAGAGAAAGATGCAGACAATTGGAAGGAAACAAATGAGTCTTGTTAAACCCTTGGGGACGAACTTGGCCGTGGCATAGCAGTAACATACACACAGACAGACTGAGAGCCATACCTTCAACAAGTTAATCATATCTCCATCCATTTGCTCCCTCTCCCTCTCCCTCTCTCTCTCTCTCTCTCTCTCTCTCTCTCTCTCTGATCTTCTGTGTTTATTTTGTTTTATTTTATTTTTGTATCCTTTTTGGATGAAGGTTTGACAATTAGGTTTTATGACTTATCAAAAGTATGATTTGGGAACAATTAAAACAAGGAAATTTTAATAAAACACTTTCAGTATTGTTTATTTTTAGAAAAATTACATTTATATATTTCTTTGGTACTATTCACTATACCTTTACAAAGGACTTTTCATTAAAAATGAAGTTTTTTTTGAACTTTTTGTTAATTTTTCTTTAAAAGAAATCTAAAAAACAAACGAGTTATTATGTTCTTGAAATCATGTGACACCCATAAACTATTCACGCGTAGTTTAAAATTAAAATATAAAATTTGATTTGATTTGGATTCAATCCGAGCCCAATGTGATCAATAAGATCCGAATTCATTAATCTGATTATAAGTAGATCTCGTCCAACTAATATTAGCATATTGATTAAGTTTTATATTGAAAGGAATTATGTTATTTTACAAATACTATATTCTATTGTGTAACATTAAAGCAAGTTTTTTATGCAATCAAAATGCACTTGCTATTGTCTCATTATTTAATTTAGAAATTACTAATTAATAAATAAAGTAGCTACTTGTGATATTTTAATAGTTTTAGGTCCAAAATTAGATTTAATAATGATCTGATTTAATCTAAATCCGATGCTTGGATATAATTCTCAAGTCAAATCCAATTATCCAAAAACGATTTAGATTGATAATCTGATTATAAATGCATTTGGATATAGACGAGGGTTGATTTGCTCCATTTACATGTCTATATATATTTTAATACAATGATATTCTACATCTAAGAGGAACGGGATAATCTACTCTAAGGAGTGCATGAATTGGGTTAACCCACACAATGCGCCAGCCACTTTACTAAATATCAAACTCAACACAAATATATTAGGCCATTGTCATTTATATGAATCGAACAAAAAATCTCTCATTTAAAAGTGATGTGGAATACAATTAGAACGTATGAATAGTTGGTGTGTTTGTTGAAGGAAGGGATAAGTTGAAACGGAAAAGTAGGAATAAAAATGACAATTAACCAATCACAAGGTTATTTTTAATTTTATTAGTTTTAAGATAATGCTATCCACACACCCCTTTTTACCTATTACACACTTTTATTAATTTTGGTCCATCAGTCTTCTTCAACTTATCAAATCCCAAAGCTGAAATTGAGAAGAGTATGTAAGAGGTAAAAATGCGTGTGTGGATATCATCACCCTTTACTTAAAATGTTGTTTGAGAATTCTTAATTTCTTATTCAAGTTAACAACTAGAGTTATTAATATAGATGTTATATATACATAGAGCATCCCTTACGCTAATATCTACAACCCTAATTTCCTTTTCATGCTTACGATACAAACCACATCAATTAGGGGGGTTTGTTGACCCCTCACAACCATGCTTCTTTGTTTTAATGGAATATCCAATGTGACCCAACGTTTGTCAAGGGAGGGTCTTCGACTATTTTAACATAAAACACATAAAATAATCTAGTCTACCGAGTTTAATGTGATGAACAATTTCTCGCAAGATTTAGCGAGGAGGAGATAGAATTGAATGGCAAACTAAGCATAAAATAATGTAATTTTACCATATGCTCCTTACTCTTTCTTTCTATGTTTCTCTTCAAATCGAACGAGATACATATATATAGGACCATCGTAGGGACCATGTATTCATTATATATGAACTCTTATATATTTCACTATTTTAGCATTTTTTTAATTTAGAATACAATTAAATAATATATAATGTCACTTAGTACTACGGTCTAGTGATATTTCTCTTCTCTTGTAAAAGAGAGGTCTTAGGTTCGATTTTCGCCAAAGATGAATTTGAACCACATTATTGCTAGCCAATTGTGAGACTAAGCTCACCCCCTCTCTCTTAATGTAAACAATATTGTTTGTTATAAATAAAAAAAATAAAAAATAAAAAAAAGGTTATATAATCTTTACTGAGTTTAGGATCCTATAATCCTAGGATCGGCCTAGCCCATTCTTGGCCTTTTGGGGCCGTTATCTTTAAGTTGTCATGCGCAAGTTAAAAGTGTATTGGGTCAAAGCTCAATGAGCCTAGAAATCGAAACTAATCTTAAGGCCCATTTCAGTGTTTTATGCTCATGTAATTTACCAACTTCTATTAGGTTTAATTTATCCATCCTTTTAACTCAATTATTTTCCATTTAGTTTTTCAATTAAGTTATGGATGTGTGATCTATTAGGTTTTAATTAGTGAGGCTAGAACTCTTACTATTCATTTACAAATTAAAAGGTTTTTTTTTTATTCTCCCTTTTTTAAGAACTTAGAGTTCGTTTAGGAAATGTTTTTAAATGACTGAAAACGCTTTTAGAATGTTTTTGGGTTCCAAAATCACTTGAAGTGGCCGTGCAAGAACACCAGTTATGTGCTTCTTCCATAATTAAATTGCATTTTACTAAGGATTGATTTTTAAAATATTTTTTTAAAATGCTTTTAGTCATTTAAAAACACTTCCTAAACGAGCCCTTATCAATAATTCTCAAAGCTTCTACAAGTCATGAGAGTCACCTAGCAATTATCATGGCTACTCAAGCTAAGAAAAATAGTAGGGAATACAGTCAACTATAAGTGCAATTGAATATGGTTCCTCTCTAGTGCATATTGAGAATGAATCCTATTTCATGGGCAAAATGGACCTTGCTTATACGTAATTGGGCTACTCTCATAGTGTAACCTTAACTTTCTTCACGGTATTAGAACAATAGGTTGTACAGAAGCCCAAGGTCACACGTGCTCCACGTCACCCAATTTCAGTTATTCACGTGTTAGATTTGAAAATTTATCACACATGAGGAAACGTGTTAACAGTAAATCCCACCCTAAATCATAGAGCATGTTTTTTATTGTACACTCACATGCCTCTATGAAACAATAGAGAGTCCAAACAATACCTTGAGCCACATTCTTGATTGAACATGTCTACATATCATTATTAAGATTGTATCCATAAGACAATCATGTTGCCTCAAGTCTAACAAAATTTGCATCATTGCAACTAAGAGAATACCTGATGCATGAAAACTAGCCTTGACATAAGTGTAATTTAGCCTCGAGTGATAAAATTCAATTTCTAACAATGCATATCAAACGTCTCACTTAGTACTACAATCTAGTGATATTCTTTTTCATTTGTAAGTAAGATATTAGATTCGATTCTCATCAAAGACAAATATGAACCATATTATTGCTAGTCAATTATGAGACTTAACCCACTCTCTCATCCCCTTGATATAGATAATATCGTTTGTTTCAAAAAACAAGTCACATCTAACCTACACTAAAATAATACAATGGCTCTTCACATGTCCAGTTTAACGAGATAGGATCCTCGTCGGATCCTATTTGTGAAGATCTTGGGAATCCTATAATCATATCCGTCAATCGTACATCGTACAATTAATTTTCATCAAGTACTGTTTATAATTAATTTTAAATAAAAAAAATTTACAATAATTTCTAACCATACGATGTACAATGAATGAATGTGATTTTAAGATCTCTGAAATCCTCACAAAGAAGATCCGGCAATGATCCTCACAAATAGAATCCGACGAAAAAAATCCTCACAAAGAAGATCTGGCAATGATCCTCACAAATAGAATCCGACGAAAATCCTTACTCCAGTATAACCCTGGTTCTTGCCCAATACTCTTGAAGAGTCAACTTAAAAAAAAAATAAAAATTAATTAATAGCCAATAAAAACTAAGTCAGTAACACTCTTTACCCCATGCCCAAGCCTCTACTACCGACACCACACAAACAGTCGTAGAACACGACGCCAACGGAACCCAATTTTCAACCGACTTTGGTTCTTCAACTTTCATATAATCACAGTCACGTAATATATCATCACACCAAACTCTCGTCTCTCCATTTCAATCCATCCGAAAACACAAACACACAAAGTTGAAATCTCGATTTTCCTCTTATGGGGTACCTTTCTTGCCGAGCTGACTCAGCCATCTCCGTCGCCAATTCCCAAACCTCATCGTCCAAGACCACCGCCACCGCCACCGCTGAAAAGCCTATCAAGATCCAACACTTCGACTACAGTGATCTTGTGGCCGCCACCAATGGCTTCTCCGAACAGAAGCTTTTGGGCAAAGGCAGCCATGGCTATGTCTACAAAGCTATGCTCCGCGGCCGTCTAGTTGCCATCAAAAGACCCTCCAGAGCTCACAGCCGGACTCTCCGACCCAACTCGTGTTCTGCGCCGGAGACCGCCAACGAGGTCGACAACGAGATCGAGATCTTGTCTAAGATTCAGAGTCCGAGGCTGGTCAATCTTTTGGGGTTTTCGAATGATTCGAAAGACAGGCTTTTGGTGGTGGAGTTCATGAGCAACGGTACGCTGTACGATGTTTTACATTCGAGTACGAATCGGCCTCCGAATTGGGGTCGTAGGATTAGATTAGCTTTGCAAACTGCCAAGGCAATTGACATTTTACATTCATCGAGCCCACCTGTAATTCATAGAGATATTAAGTCTGCAAATGTTTTGATTGATCGTAGTTACAATGCCCGGTTGGGGGATTTTGGATTGGCTCTGAGGTACTGCCTGTTCGACGAATATAGGCTCCGGTCGACCCCTCCGGCGGGGACGATGGGGTACTTGGACCCTTGCTATGTGACCCCTGACAATTTGAGTACTAAAACTGATGTTTTTAGTTTTGGGATTTTGTTGTTGGAGATTTTAAGTGGTAGGAAGGCTATAGATGTTGGGCATTCTCCGCCTTCGATTGTGGATTGGGCTATCCCGCTTATAAAGCGAGGGAAGCTGATAACGGTTTATGATCCGCGAATTGTACCTCCTAAGGACCCTGTTGTGAGGAAGCAATTAGCTGTCATTGCAGCCAAGTGTGTGAGGTCTTGTAGGGAGCGTAGGCCAACGATGAAGGAGGTTGTGGTTTGGCTTACCGGGTTGAGTAAACTGGTTCCCCTGCATTCGTGGAATGGTTTTAACAATCCGTGTACAATGGTAGAGACCGTGGGGCGGCCTGTTGAA